TACTAAATACTTGAAAAAGGGTTAGTAAATCTTTTCAGACTGTGAGAGAAGATAGTGTGGAATCGAAAGACTGGAGTTCTGACCCAGCTCTACCACTTGCTAGCTGTGCAGATTTGGGCATGTTACCTAATCTCTCTGAGACTCAGTTAAACAGACAAAATGATAACTTCACAAGCAATTAGAGGAGCTGTTTCTGAATCTCGGATAGAGTTGTGGGAAAATGACTTCATTTGGGTAAAGTTCTGAATGTTTGGATGATAAAAGGGGACTTAATAAATAGTCACAGTAAACTTGGGAGTATTTTTGTAGACAGAGAATCATTGGAATAGATATACAATCAGTGACTGTTACAAGAATGCCAGTGAAGAACTAGGGACTTCAGCTAATGCAGAATTGCTTTCTCTACCTTTCTGAAAGATTTAATTCAGTGGGGTTTGAAGACCAACGGGAAAGGATAGAAAAGAAATCTAGGGCACTTTCACGTTTCAGACGTGGGAAGCTAGGTAGATAGTGGTTTCTTTCACTGAGATATGAAATACAGGACAGGTTGGAGGGGGCTGGTTTACAGACAGAAGGTAGCATCCGATTTAAATGAAAGTTAGTCGACATGGTGGTGTCTGTGACAGACCAAAGTAGAAATGCCAGTAGGTAGCTCGATCTATGTATTTGGAGCTCAGGAGTGGTCTGCACTGGAGACTTGAAAGTCACTGGTTTACAGCCAGAGGTTGGGCCACAGGTGTGGCTGAGTGTGCACACCGACACTTGGCCTGAGGATGGAACCCTGGAATGTTGGAGAGGATGCTTTTAGCTGTTAGTAAGGAATATCCCAACTGAAAGTTGTGTAGACTGTTATCTCAGTTAGCTAGAAAACCGAAGGCTTAGGACTGGTTAACTTAGTGGCTCTAAAACTGAAGGACCTAGGTAGCTTCCTGCCATCTCTCCTCTGCCCTTCCTCAATATTCTGTCTTTTCAGGCAAAATTCCTCTTCAGTTTCCAAGATGGCACTACAGTTCCAAGCACCCCATGAAGATGACCAATTCCAGAGGCAACCAAGTATCCATGCATGCATCCTTTTTTTTTTTTTTTGAGTTGGAGTCTCATTCTGTCACCCAGGCTGGAGTGCAGTGGCGTGCTCACGGCCACCACAGTCTCGACCTGTTGGGCTCAGGTGATCCTTCCGCCTCAGCCTTCCTAGTAGCTGAACCACAGGCGCACGCCACCACACCCAGTTAATTTATTTATTTATTGTAGAGTCAAGGTCTTGCCAAGTTGCCTGGCCTGATCTCAAACCCCTGGGCTCAGGCAATCCTCTTGCCTCTGCCTCCCACAGGTACGCCATCTCTCTTTCTAAAATTTTTTTGAGTTGGAGCCTCACTTCATCGCCCAGGCTGGAGTGTAGTGGTACATTCAGGGCCACCACAGCATCAACTTGCTGGGCTCAGGCGATCCTTCCACCTCAGCCTTCCAAGTAGCCAGAACTACAGGCGAGTGCTATCATGCCCACCATGTTGCTCGGGCTGGTCTCGAACCCACGGGCTCAGGCAATCCTCTCACCTTGGTTCCCCAAAAGTTCTGTGATTACAAGCTTGGGCCACCGTGCCTGGCCTGTATGCATCTCTTAAAACACTTTCTCAGAATCTCCCTAACAGAACCAAACCATGTTCGTTAGCAAAATCCCCCCAGCAACCGCTGGCAAAAGGAATACATAATACTGGTGGGCACTTATCAGTTAAGATTCACTCTCACTGCTGCAGAAAGGAGCAGCCTCAGCCGGGATCGGTGGCTCAGCCTGAGCCCGCAGGTTCAAGACCAGCCCGGGCAACTTGGCGAGACTTCGTCTCTACAATAAATCAAAAATTAGCTGGGCATGGTAGCTCGTGCCTATAGTTCCGGCCTCTTGGAATGTTGAGGCAGAAGGATCATGGGAGCCCAGCAGGTCGATGCTGGAGTGGCCATGAGTGTGCTACTGCACTCCAGCCTGGATGACAGTGTGAGGTTCAATTGAGGTTCAATTTTTGCACATGAATATCTAATTGTTCCAGCATGACAGAGTGGGACTCCAACTCAAAAAAAAAAAAAAAAAAAAAAGGAGCAGTCTCCCCAGAAGCACTTGGCCACCTGATACCCGAACAATATTTAAAGAAGCGAGGAAATGACGATTTATTAGATCGAAGCCAGCAGCCTCCCACTCCTTGGGAGCGTGACGCCTAGAGACAAGCAGAGGAAGAGCAGCTCTAAGCAGCTACTCTAAGTAGTTTGATGACACTGACATTAGGGGCCACAGAAGTCAAGGAGAAAACGTGGAGAATGATTAAAAGCCAAACCAGTGAAACTGGAACAATGTCTGTAGTTAAGTCCCGTACCAGTGTCAATTTCCTCATTTTGATTACTGTACTGCAGTGTGGTATATCGCTTGGGGTCTTCTCAAGGCCTTGCCGAGGATGACACGCCACCCACCACACAAAACAGCCGGGCATCCTATGAGCATACCTGCCCTAAGTGTACACTGAACAGAAATTTCCTTCCTCCACCCCAGGGGTCACGGTCCTTCCACTCTCCCCCTCTCTCCTTTATTTCAAGTTCTCCCCTTCTGCTAGCCCTTTTCCCTCGACTGTATTAGCTCAGAGTTCTCCGTGTTGGAAAAGCTCTCCTTTGTTCCCAGCTGGGCTTCCACCTCTCTCCTGGGTGACCAATCTTCTGGAAGGAACCATTCATCTCTGTTTTCACACCTCAAATCCACTTCTCGGTTCACTGCAGTCTAACTCCCAACCAAACTCTCTATGAGCACCAGAGAACCTTCTGGGCCTTGGGACCTCTGAAATATCATTCAGCTCCTAACTTGTCCCCACGATAAGGCCATTCATGAGCTACAGTATAGCACAGTGGACAGGAATGTAGTCTCTAAAGCCAGATTATTATTATTATTTTGAGTTGAAGTCTCACTCTGTTACTCAGGCTGGAGTGCAGTGGCATACTCAGGGCCACCCCAGCGTTGACCTGCTGGGCTCCAGCAATCCTTCTGCCTCAGCCTTCCAAGTAGCCGGAACTACAGGCGCACGCTACCACACTCGGCTAATTATTTTTATTATTGTAGAGACAAGGTCTTGCCAAGCTGCCCGGGTTGGTCTCGAACCCGCGGGCTCAGGCAATCCACTCACCTTGGCCTCCCAATTGCTGGGATTACAGGTTGACCCACCGAGTCCGGCCACCAGATTGTTTGACTCTCAACCAATTACCGTTTTGTAATCTTTTGACAGATTAATTTATTTCATACTTCAATTTCCTCACCAGAGAAATGGGGATAATATTAAATGTCAGCTAACTCCTAGAGTAGTTGTGAGGCTTAAATAAAAGAATATCTGTAAATTTCCTGTAACCACCTGGCACACAGCAAATACTCAGTAACTAGCAATTGCTAGTAATGTTGTAACTTTAAAAACAGCTTAACATGCTTGATTAATAGGAAACGGCAAACATGGTGCAGAGACACCACGTTCCCTTTCTCCAGTGTCTCTTAACGGTAACATTTTATGTGACCATAGCACAATGACCAAAAACAGGAACTTGACATTTGCACAAAATTCTTAACTACAGACTTTATTCTGATTTCACCATTTTTAAGTTAAAGGGCATTTTGGCAAGTTGGGGCTGAGATCCTTAAGGGGGCTCCTGAGATAGGTATAGAATTAACAGTCTGACCCTAAAGGTGCCTTTAGGCTGGGGGGTCCTGAGACAGACCGGGAGGCCAGAGTCTCTTCCCAGAAGAGCTTCAGAATCAGAGAGGGCTGGGCAACAGCAGTGACCAAGTTCTCACTGCGAGGGGAGCTCTCGCCTGCTGAGTGACAACACGGAGAATGCTCCCTCTCCTTGGGCATGCGCACTGATCTTTTGCCAAGAGCAGATGGGTTTGGGCTGGTTTACTCTCCTGTCTAGACGGGATTAGGATTTAAGCCTATGGAACAGAGCTGACAGGTCCACACTCAGCTTGCCCTTGCCAAAAACATGAAGGCAGAATGCAGAACCCTTCCAGCAACACCTATAAACGTACTGGAATGAGACACGCTTTAGGTTGTGTGTGCAGACAGTGCAACTACACTTCTAGTAATTACCTTATCTCTATCATGAGAACAGGCTTAATCGAACATTTGCAAGAGGCAGCCAAAGGTTTAGAAAGCTAAAACCAACTGGAATAGTGAACCAATTGGAATGGTTTATTACGTATTCTTCTTTTGCCAAAGATGGTTTCTGGTTCCAAATTCACAGACAGGTTTTCAACACGCTGCCCTCATGTCTGCTTTGCCACCAGTCAGCATTCTACTCATTCTTGAAGGCCAACGAAGGACACATTAAAGTACATTCATGCCATTGTGCTATCATCACCACATCCATCTCCAGAACTTAAGTATTTTCCGCAATGCAAAACTCTGTGCCTATTAAACACTATCCCCACCCCATCTTGTCCCCAGATCCCGGTAACTACCATTCTACTTTGCCTCCACGAACTCGACCATGTTGTACACCTCATATAAGTGGAATTACGCAGTATCTGCCCTTTTCTGTGTCTTACTTACTTGCCATAATGTCCTCCAAGTTCATCCACACTGTAGCATGTGATTGGAGCCCTCCCACTTTGGTGTCTCACTATGTTGCCTAGGCTGGTCTCAAACTCCTGTCCTCATGTTTATCCATTATTCTGTTGATGGACATCTTGGGTTGTTTTTACCTTTTGGCTAATGTGAATAATGCTGCTATGAACATCAGTGTATCAGCATCTGTCTGCGTCTCTGCTTTTTATCTTTTGAGTATATTCCTAGAAGTCAAACTGCTGAATCATGTGGTAGTGCTATTTAATCCTCTGAGGAGCCACCAAACTGTTTTCCATGGCAGAGAACACAGTATTTTTCCTATCTTTAACACTTAAAAGATTAAGCTGTAGAGTTCATGAAGAATACTGGCATAAGTGCAATCTATAACAGCATAAATTACTTTGGCAACTCAACTGTCATTCATAAATACAAAATTTTATTTGCACTTCATTAGTGTAGAAAGACCACAATGCTTTTCATACCACAACACTCAAGACACGCCAAGTTATTCAAATACATAATTACTTATTTACCTTGACTAAACAAAACAGTGCAGTTTAATAAAAGATATACCAAAGATAGAGTTCACAAATTCATTATCAGACCAAAAAAAAAAAAAAAAAAAAAATGAACACAGTCTAGGCTTAATTGGAATAAGCTTCACCATAAAGGAGAGAAGTTTCATCATTACAAAGGTACAGAATGTTTATAGGCAAATACATGTATGTTCTTTGATATAGTAAAATGTATCTCTTTAAAATTCCTTTAAACAGGATTTGTTTAGGACAGCAGCGTTGTTTTAAAATCTTTTTCTATAGTTTCAAAAACATTTCTTTCTTTATTGAATCTTTGTAGTTCTTCAAATCATAAGGGTATATCCCTTAGAAAACCATGAGAGAGATTCTGCGGCCTTAGGACCAAGTCAAATCCAACCCTCTAAACTAGTAATATCCTACTATTACATAATATTAATAAATAACCTTCAATGATGGCCATGAATGGAGCTTTGCTTTGTAGCAGAAACACTCCAATACTTTAAAGATGCTACTGATGGGGAAATGTCTTGTAAATAAAGAAAAAGCACTTAAGATAGCTTTTTTTTCCTCAAAGTCTTTAACAAATTTTCTTTATAACAGTAAGCAAAGCACCACGTTCTCTCTTTTTACCAGAGTATTTTCTGTCCTCGAAATATAATTAACAAGGACAATTGTTTATTTCAAGAAACATGATACTTTTCATTTCTCCCATTCTTCTTATTAGAAGTACGATGTTTCCCAGTGTACACTAGACACTGGGTAATGAGTGAAACAGAATAATTTGGAGGGATATAGGCAACTTATAACCAAAACTTACCCAAGATTGCATATCTGCATATTTACAAGTTAGTGTATAGCTCTGACTTGGATTACAAAGTGCGAAAGGAAATTGTCAAAATGATTGTAGTGCAGAATAGAACGTTTTTCCCCTTTCCAGGAACTGTTTCCGCTTTGTCTCCAAAGCAGCCTATCAACAGCATCGGACGTGTGGTCTTGGTGGAGGCAGTTCTGGCGGTATCTCGGGCTCTGGTTGTAATGAGAGGATACTATTGGACAACTCGTTCCTTAAAATATCCAGAGGCATCTAAAGGATAAAGAGAAAGGAGAAATTCATTTTGACCTTACAAGGTTTATGTATACTTGGCCTGGAACAACATGGGTTTGAACTGTGTGGGTCCACTTACAGGTGGATTTTTTTCAGTAAGAGTGGCACCGAGTGTGCCTCCCACCTTCACCTCTTCTGCCTCTGCCACCCCGAGACAGCAAACCAATCCCTCGTCCTCAGCCTACTCAACATGAACACGAGGATGAGGACCTTTATGATGATCTACTTCCACTTAAGGAATAAGCGTGTTATCTTTATGATTTTTTTTTTTTTTTTGAGTTGGAATCTCACTCTGTCGCCCAGACTGGAGTGCAGTGGCCGCTCCCGGCCACCGCAGCCTCGACCTGCTGGGCTCCGGCGATCCTTCCGCCTCAGCCTTCCGAGTAGCCGGAATTACAGGCGCGTGCTACCACGCCCGGCTAATTTTTTGATTTATTGTAGAGATGAGGTCTCACCTGCCCAGGCGGGTCTTGAACCCGCGGGTTCAGGCAATCTACTCATCTCAGCCTCCCAAAGGTGTGGGATTACAGGCTGAGCCACTGAGCCCGGCTTATTATTTTCTTAATAACATTTTCTTTTCTCTAGCTTACTCTATTATAAGAATACAGTATATAAGACATACAAAATATGTGTTAATGGACTGTTTACATTATTAGTAAGTCAACAGTAGTCAATGGTAGCTATTCATGGTTCTTTTGAGTTGAGGTTTCGCTGTCACCCAGGCAGGCATGCAGTGGCACAATCACGGCTTACCACAGCCTCTACCCTCCTGAGCTCAGGCGATCCTTCTACCTCGGTCTTCCAAGTAGCTGGGACTACAGGTATGTACCACCAGGCACATCTAATTTTTTTTATTTTTTATTTTTTTGTAGAAATGAGGTCTTGTTATGCTGCCCAAGCTAGTCTTGAATTCCTGGCAGTAATATAGCTTTCAGGAATTCAAGTTCTACTCGAATTTTCAATTACTTGGGTGGGGGAGCAACGCCCATAATCCCCCTGTTGTTTAAGGGTCAACTATAAATGCTTTGCAAATTGTACAATAATATAAAAAGCAAAGTACTGTTATATAAAGTTCTCTGATCATCAAAGATTAATTAGACATTAAAATATTAAGCCAAAAAAATAAAAACCACGTTCAGGGTATTTCATATCAAAATGTGAACACTGCTCAGCCTGTTTAAGACTCACCTTGTAAAAATTTATTCTCATGAAGTACAGAATAGTGAAAATTTAATATATTAATTCATTTTTTAAATGGTCAGCATTCTAAATAGTTAGATACTAGTCAAAGAAATAACTTCTCTCGACAGCTTTATATGATACAACCATTTTAAAACAACCATTTTATCAGAAACTTCAGAATTGTCTGAACTGAGCAAATTTCACTTAATAATAATATAAGTAAACATTAGTTTTCATGAGAAATCATTCAACATAAGCCTGAAGATGTCCAAAGGAACTACTACTGCTTGATGAAGCTGTCTAGCAATTTTTTGCAGCCCACATCAAGGAAAGGCCTTTATGAAGGAAAGCAGCTGCCATAAGGAAGCAGAGCAAGAAGGCAGGTGAGCACTGCACCAAGGGGCCTTTTCTCCACTGAGATACCCACATACTCTGCTGGGTCTCTAACTGAATTCTCATGGGAAAGTGGGAAAAAAGAAAAGAAAAGAAAACGTCCGATAAACACAGCACATCACGATACCTTGTTTAAGTCACTCTACCAAGCTGTGTTTCAAGGCTGAGCAAATACACTGTACACCAACCCTCAGGACACCAACAATCCCTAGGTGGGTAACGGTGACTACTACAGCAGGCTGGATGCTGCTGGCTGAGTTAACACCCATACCTGGCTCTTGAGCCTGAGCATAACTGTTGTACTTTCATTTCTAAATAAAAAATTCTCAATACAAAAGTAATAAAGGAAACAACAGGTTTCAGAGGAAATATTTTCATGACACAGATTCTATTTTTACCTTTTTCAGAATGTCATCGACGAGTTTCAGAAATATCTCATCCACATTGAAGTTATCCTTGGCACTTGCTTCACAGAACCGCATCCCAGTTATCTGTTGTGCAAACTAAGAAGAAACACACACCTATTTCCTCTGTTGGCTGCCACACGGCCTAGCATACGAGCAAAGCCTGGCTTCTAGGGGGAATCACAGCCTTGGAGCTAGGCTTTCAGAGAAGGGGTGGCACTAAAGGGCTGGAAAGCCCCACTGACCTCAATATCAGGCTCACAAGTGTAGTGAATTCTTACATTACTAACAAATACTAACATATCAAAACACAACAAACACTCTAAGGCCATCCCAGGACCTTCCAAATTACCTGCCTAAGTTTCTAAAAGCATTAACACATATAGCATTTGAAATGTGAACAGCATCATTTCTCCATGACTGAATCCTCAGCAAAAATTAAAGAAGTTTAAAACACATTAGAGAAAGAGAAAATCATGAAAGCAATTTTCTGGCTTAAAAAAAGTTTCTCTGTATAAAATGTCAGGTTAGATAATAATGCTGTATATACTAATGTGGTTTTTTTCCTCCCTTCATTGCAAAATGCATTTAAAGGAGCAGGAAGTCAAAAACATGCAAACAAATGATAATGATATAACTGAGTTTTAAAAAATAAGTAAGGTATTAAAACGAAAAGGACACCAAGCACTAAGTGCAGAGCGTGGTGACTATGACCCCTGTGGACCCCCATTTTCTCACCTTTTCACCCTGGTGCCTGGTGATTTCTCTGTCTGTTTCACAGTCCAACTTATTTCCAACTAAGAGAAGCTCTGCATCTTCTGAAGCATACTGTGGAATTTTAAAAGAAACTGCATTCAAAGACGGCATTGTCATATACTGACAGAGAAAATGTAAACCAATAAGATATCTTCCACCCATTTCCATTTGTTCACTCACTTCTCCATCTTTGAGGATTTTTTTTTTTTTTTTTTTTTTGAGTTGGAATCTCACTCTGTCGCCCAGACTGGAGTGCAGTGGCCGCTCCCGGTCACCGCAGCCTCACCTGCTGGGCTCTGGTGATCCTTCCTCAGCCTTCCAAGTAGCTGGAACTACAGGCACGTGCTACCATGCCCGGCTGATTTTTTGATTTATTGTAGAGATGAGGTCTCGCTGCTCAGGTGGGTCTCGAACCCGCGGGCTCAGACAATCCACTCACCTCAGCCTCCCAAAGGCGCGGGATTACAGGCTGAGCCACCGAGCCTGGCTATCTTTGAGGATTTATCAGGCCCCAGGCAGGACTAAACACAAGGTGAGGAGACAAGACTCATCACATCTTAGAAAGCAGCTGGGTCAGAGGCATTCAGATCACAATGCTCTTGGCCTTTGACCTGACAATTCCTAAGACTCCATTCTAAGGAGGTGGTTCAAAACATAGGCAAAGCTCTATACTTGAAATGATCATCAACCGAAAATAAAAAAAACCAAACCTGAGTTCAACAAAATGGATAAAGAATCAAATTAATTAATTAATTAATAGATCTCCTAGTGAAAGGTAAAAAAAAAAACAAAAAAACAAAACAGAAATCAACCCAATAATAGGGGAACTGATAATAAACTATGGTATATTTACATAGCAGCATACTATGCAACTGTAAAAGGGAATAAAGAATATTTCTATATACTGTTATGAGCAAAGTTTGGGATATAGTATAAGAAGACAAGCAGATGCAGAAGAGTGTGTATAGTTGATGGAATGTTAATCAGCCATAGAGAAGGGCAAAACTATAAACTTCGCAGCTACTTGGATGGATTAGAGTCTATCATACTCAGGGATCTATCACAAAAACAAAGAACAGAGTATCACATGTTCTCACTCATAAGTGGACTCTGAACAATTTTCATAATACTATAAGAAAGGAATTGACAGTAAAGGGAAATTCCCAGGGGAGGAAGGTAGGGGGCACACTTCATCAGTGAGGATACCTGATCTCAAACCAGGTGAAGTGGGGACCAAAGTAAGGCCCAAACTTTACCTGTG